ATGTAACATTCACGCCTAGTTTTACAGTGTATCGAGCCTCGGTAATTTCGCTGAGGCCGCCAAAGTAGTCAGACACTGCCAGGAAGACGTAGAATCAACAATTCCAACACGCGAAAAAGAGCACGGGGACTCATATTTACGTCAACATAGCATTTCAATGGTTTGTTTATGGGCGACGCGAGCTTCTTGCCCACTCTATCGCACGTGCACGGCGCCGATGGCGTTGTCCACTAGGGGCGCTCCGGTTTGTTGGTAAAGATGAGGTGTACTATACAAACGCATGCATTTTGACCCCCCTTTTTCCCTCTGCATGCCAAGTCAGACATCTCATCACCTCAGCCCCAGTCTTGGGTAAGTTACTTTTAAAAGTAATTTGTTATAGCTATTTTAAGAAAAAAGTAGCAAAGTTGCCGTCACAGTTGCCGCAACAAAAGAGTAACTCGTTAATTACTTTTAAAAACTAATAACGTTACTTTTCAGTTACTTTTCTATAACACAAAAAAAATTAGAAAAAGCTAGAAAACGTTCCTCACAATGTTTTATTGCATAAAATTAAAAAAGTATGCTTTTTACTTCATATTGTAACTTAGCAGCAGTTTCTTCTCGAAGTTAGTGTTAGAAAGTTTCCACGCCAGAGTAGTGGCGCAAATCAAAATACGAAACATGCGCAGTGCCCTCCACGTGTATTGTCGTTTCACGGCAGATTCACCCGATTAAAAAGCGTTTGCACGGAAAAAATAAAAAACACATGGATAGTGCTTCAAGACACTAAGATGTAAGTGTTCAGTCACAAAATACAAGCGCGTGCTTAAAGATAACTAGATATTTTTTCATAAAGTCTACATGTGGCTATATTCGGGTCGCGACTCGCGAGAAAGAACGTATTCACAACTTTGTGCAAGGCCAACTTGACACTCGAAATGTCGGAATAGACCATTTGGAAAGTGCAAGGAATGGCTAAATTGCACTCGTTCAGTGATATATTATTCATAAAATACTAAAAGTAACGACAAAAGTAACGTCGTTACTTTCATCGTTACGTCAGAAAAGAGTAATACTGTAGAACTACAGTTACAAGTTACATTTTTAAAAAGTAACTCATTACACTTACAAGTTACAAAAAAGTAACGAAGTTACAGTAACGCGTTACTACTCAAGACTGGTCAGCACCCCCTTCCTCCCCCCCGCATCGCACCTTCCCCAAAAATAATTCTCACTTGCGGCCTTACGTTTTGTTTGTTAACACTTACCAAGTCTTTTTGTTAAAAGCAGGAAGTCCAAATATGTTCAAGACCCAGCCACCCGACATAGGGAAATTGCATCATGGGCTTCTGAAACCTAGCAGGAAGAGTGGGGCGTTTACCGTGGGTGCTAAGGTGCAATATGTCAACTTCCTGGCCTGAAGACCTTCAACCTCCCTAAGCAAAAGCAAATACTATGTTCTAGTTTTCTCCCAGCTCAGAACTAGGTACTAAACTGCAGCAGTTGTAATTAGACGGCATCACAGAGTAATAGATTCAAAGGCTTTATTTGTAAACAGCTGACACCTCCGACTCTGCAAAAAGGGACTCTTCCAGTCAAGGCGGACCTAGAACCGTTGACGGCTGTCAATCAACCTTCGCTTCATCCGGGCCCAGCAACCTCGGCACGTCCGTCCCCCGTACACGGGCCGAACCTCTCAAGCTTGGGCGCAGAGAGCACAAGTCGCAAAAGCAACCAAACATTTTATAAGTGTTCCTGGCACTAAAAGTTAGCAGCCCTATGCAGAAGCACCGAGGGCCAAACAAAAAAGTGCACAGAATGCGGGGAGAAACTAAACTGTTTTATGATACACAACAAGATGTCCAGGAAAAGAGAGAGAAGGAAACTTTAGATGAAAAGCAGCTGTCTAGTTAGAAAAAAAAAAAAAGATATACCTGATCACCCCGCCCAAATTTAAATGTTTCTACGAAACCAGACGTAAAGTGAAGGTATGCTCCAAGGCACATGTTGCTAAGCAGCGTTGCAAACGGCCAGCTCGGTACACTTTACTACCGAGTAAAAGAATGGTTTTTGTTTCCTTAGAAGAGGGGAGGGGTAGGGGGGGTGGGCGGCCTCTCTTCGCTTTTCCTCGACGTCGCAGCGTGGGCGCCTCGAGGATGTACTGTGTTGGGGGCGGTCGGTGAGCGGGCCCTTCCCTCAGCTGAGCAGGTTGCGGATCTCCTTGTGGAGGTGGCACAGGAAGTCCACGTACGAGGGACTCGCCTCCCCGTGCCGGTCCTCCACCAGGAACTGCCGGAATACCAGCTCCATCTTGTCTCCCTGGCGCACCAGCGTCAGCTGAAATACGTCGGGTTCCGTTGGTCGGCGCTCGTCCCAAACAAGGTGCGAGCACAGTCTTTCTTATGTTGGTGTACGCGGACCCTTTGGGGTCCCCGAAGCTTTCGACCATTAGTCAGGCCAAGCAATAGTCAAGCCTACTTTGTGCCGCCACTCTTGTGTCAAGCTTTGCCACTTTACACCGCCTTCTCAAAGAAGCAGCTGACCCAAAGGAGCACCTTGTTTCGCTAGGTGAGCTCAGAAGCTTGCTGGGGTGGGCACTTCACATGATGCCCTTTGCCAATATCTCACACGTTTCAAAAGTAGATGGTGGGCACTCATTGTGACATAGGTGCATGTTCAGTATTCTATGGTATATAAATAAACAACTGAAAAGGAAGACTAAGAATGTGCAAACCCAGTGGTACGCTAAGCCATTCCCCACCTACCCAACCAACAATAGAGTTAGTTGGGCATATATTTTCATAGAGTCAAATGCAGTAGAACCTTACTGACACGTTTTCAGCGGACCACCCAAGAGAAAACTGTACGATCCGAGAAAAGAGATAGAACGAGAAGCAACTTTTGAGCAAGTTTATACTTCACATACTATGTCTATGGGCTAAAAGCACCCAGCCTCAGGATATAAATCATTGCCCGATGCTTGGATTAATAAATGTGATTTTTTTTTACAACGTAACTCTTTTAGCGGGCGACTGGCACGCCTATTTCTGACACCACTATAGCGCATCTCTCTAAATCCTGAAGAAGCGAGCCTGAAGTCCCCGGGAAGAAACATGCAGAGCCAGTGCAAAAAGGTCGTTGTCGCACTTGTGCGCTCCAACAAGAGTACTAATCCTCGGGGAGCTTCACCCGGATGAAGCAGGCCGGCACAAACCACAGCTCAATTCAACAGATACAGTCAAACTCATCCATCCGTGGATGGATCATAATGGGTGTGCCCTTTGCATCGGGCACAAGGGTAGACCACCTAGTCTAGAAACATTTGTACAACCCACCCACCCCTACATGCTTCTCTGAACCTAGTTACAGTTGAATTGTCGATTTGATCAATCTTGTGTGCAATTTTACACTTCCCTAAACCTTCTCCACCAATCTTATGACACCTGCTTTGTGACTGTACTAATCATTTTGCTCTTTTTTTCTTTCACTGCAGTTGATTCATACTGTATTTACTCACATAATGAACACACTTTTGTTCTTGAAAAATTAACACATACCGTATTTGGGGGGTGGGTTCATTACACGGGGTAAAATGTTTGCATTTACATAGTTTGTGCAAATGTCAGATCAGGTGCCACTATGACGCGGCAAGGTACTGTGGGCCGTGGCACATCTCCCCAGGTGGAGGTGCACCCATGGCTGGTCGGGGGCGCACCACAGTAACCATGCTTTATAAATTGCAAACCTTTTTAGGGCGCTTTCGGCGTGCCTTTTGCCGACGAAAAGGCACCCTACAAAGCTTGCTCAGCATGGAGAGCAATGCTACCATTCTTAGGCCTAACTACTTTCACGATTTCCCTGTCCGAAAGTGGACCGCAGATGACGGCATGTTTGTTGACATCACTGATAAGCGAAGAATGTACAAGGCTGGGCAATTCCTCGACCCAAACTTCGTGAAGTGTGCGCGCCGTTCGGTTTCACAGTTGATCACTTCCACAACTACACATGTGCAGCCATTACAAGAGCAGCTCGGCTTGGCTTGACCTGGCCCGACCGCTTGGCAGCAAAACAAAATTGGCTTGGTGGGCTTGGTGGCTAGTGAAGTTGGATGCTATTCGAGACTTGCATAGCCGAAAATTGGAGGTGTGTTCATTATGCGAGTGCAATCATTATACGAGAACATACGGTACATACCCGTACCAACCGGGAATGTATTAATGAGTTTCTACTGCATGCATCGACCGATGATAACAAAATAAATCATGACTCACCCTCATACAGCGTTGCCTCTCAGCTCGCACCCTCGCCACAATGTCCCGTACCCGCCTTGAGATGGGCGTATTTAGTTCTAGCAAGGCAGTCTGGAAGAAATGGAACACCAAAGAGGATGGAGATGGCAAGTTCTATCGTTGTAGCAAGATCCAGTGGGTAAGAGCTAAAAGTTACTGCATACTAACATTAGAATGTGCAGAAGGCCCGCCTTTGCAATAAAACATAACATACAATCAAATGGGAGTAAGGGATGTTATCACAGTAAGAGCACGGTAAAATGAAAGGTGGTACCTTAAAACTAAACGAATATGAATCTGACAATTTTCATGAAGACCCGAGAGGAGGCTTGAAATGTGCAAGAGTAATAACAGCAGCCCCCGCAACACACACACAATGGTAGATTGTCCCCACAATATAAATACACCAATAAGTCAGAGATGAATGGCCAGGTAACAGAAATTCATGAAACCGTCGGTCCAAAAAAGTGCTCTCAGGGAACACAGGAATAACTCCAAGCCTAGTGCACATCCTGTGCTCCAAGGTGTCAAGCACTGCTTTGTCTCTCACCTTGTCAATGTCTATCCTTGCAGCCACAGGTTGTGCAAACACATTCTGCAAAAAGTCTGGGTCCACGGCCATTCCTATCCACATGAACATGTGGATTCCATTTTCTGTAATGGAAGCAAAATAACTGGCTTTGTCATCATCCCAAACATTAGTATCAAAGTCCCCAGGTCAGGGAAAGTAGTGCCACTGATCGGAGAACCTGGCTCTACCAATCCTAAAATGTCAAATGGTTGAGGAGTGCTGAGCGACATGGAGAGGCTGTAGTTACAGTTTTGTCTAGTGGCCAAGTGCCACTATTGAGATGATGTAGTAGAACCACCGCTAAGCATCCACCGTGCAAGACCTTGAAGCGGAGCAGCGACAAGTGAAATGCAGATGCATGAACTATAGGAAAGGTATGTAGTATAACATTAACGGGGGACATGGGTCTTTGGAGCCAAAAACTTCCCGAAACTGGATTCTTTCGAAAATGGTGATGGTTGTTGTTCTTCTGAATCTACTAGGCTTCTAACTTTGTGGATGGATATTTGAGCTATAAATCAATTTATAATGTATATGTGGGCTGAATGTGCGTTGAAGTTGACTCTAAAACATTGTTTTCACAAAACACAATTTTCGAACTCGTTGAAAATTTGCAGGTGGGATATCTCAGCATCTAGAGCAGATAGAAATATAACCTTTCCTGAAACGAGTAGCTAAATGTGTGAAGCATAAAATGTTGAGAGCAGATCTTTTAATACGTCTTGAAAATTTTCTATTCAATATTTTGTTTTATTATTTGTTAGCCATGCATTGAGCAGTGAACTTCAATGTGTGGTAAAATCACTAATAATGGGTTTATCTGAAAAGTACTTCCAACATTGCATTCTCTACACTTCATAATATCCAGCCATGTGTCAAAAAGGATATTTTGTGGAGCCCTTTTTTTTTTTACCTAACCTTCCTCCAAACAAAGGTAGGCAAGTTTTAATTATCTTGAGGACAATTCCACTGACTGAGAAAATGACCAGATATATGAAATCAGCGCAAAAAAAATCTGAACAAGCTTGTGCAGTCTCATTGGGTTTGGTCATAAATTAAGAAAAAAAAGCTCCAAGACCAGTGTTCCCTCTTAAATACAGCAAGCAAGAATACTTTGACAAAATCCCACTACTGAATGGAATAAGAAATTTTCCTCTGTATCATAAGTGAGTGCACCAAATCCTTGCGGCCTCCCGACGAATTTCCTGGTGCTGTTTTGCATATGTTTCGTTTCAAGCAGCATTTCCAATAATTATTGTGACCATCATGAAGGTATTAGAGAGTTTTAAAATAGGGGATCCCAAAGGTTGGGAGTTCCTAAGAAATAGAAGCTCACCCCTGCGCATGCGCCGAACCCAAACTGCGTTTTGGGTTGGCGCTCACCCCAAACGCAAAATTAAAGAAATAGCGTGGGGCCCCTATTTGCATGGGGCCAGGTTGCGTACGCAAACAAGGCGACACCTTTTCTGCATGCTTCGCAGCAAATTCATCATGGTCACTACCGTATTGGCCATGTTCATTGCCAGTGAATGGTGCAGCCGGCTTTCACTTCGCTTTCTCTCGCTGAAATCGCAAAGAATGAACGGCGAGCTCTCCCCAATTTAAAAATCATCCGATTCCGGCCGTTCCGAAGCCCAGAAAGACGCGGTAACCGTTGTCATGGCAACGTCTTGCTACTCCGAGACTCCGAGTGGATTCCGATAGTGGCACATTACCTGTAGCTTAAAAACAAGGCATCCAAGTCGCTGTAGCTCAGATCTAAATAAAGCAGCTGCTCGCTCGTGTTCGTCTGTTTCGGCATAGTTGAATGCTTCGGCGACCTTCGGCGACCTTCAGCGACAGGCGCTCAACGCAGCACAAGAACACCAAAATCAGCCCGAGAACAAGTGGCAAGTTAGAGTGCTACGAATTGGAATCTCTTGGCTGAAAACAGCCACCAATATTTACACTGATTTTAGATTGAATTTTACAACATAACTTTAGCCTTAACTATTCATTGTAGTAAACAGAAAGTACTTGCCAAGTGCATGTGTTTTACATTTTTTTAATATTCCTGTTTTCTTAATATTACGCTTGTTAACTGGGCTACGTTGGTGAGAACCACAATCTATAAGCCGGTGGTGCCAACCTTGTTGCATTTGAGACCCCACCCCATTCCTTAGGAGTACCCAAACGTTGAGGCCCCCTATTCTAAAACTCTCTGTTATGTACTTAATAGCTAAATTTTTAAATAACAATTTTTGAGGTTTGCAACGTTGCTACAGTCCACCCCAGGCAGTGTGTGTGTAGCAGAGTACCTGACTGAGCTCAAAGAATAGGCTGTCGTGGGAAAAGCTTTGTTGACAGGCCAGCAATCACAGTGAAGTTCATTGCAAAATAAAGGTAGGACACAAAAAAAATGTTTCTGCATTGTTTTTTTGCTCGCTTAGTATTTCCAATTTCGGACAATTCGGGCATTTTTGCCAGCGCCATTAGATGCCAATTCACGGTGTTTTATTACAAAGATATTAAGCACATTGGGACACAATACCAACCTAGAAGATAGACACCATCCTCCCTGACTTTCTCGGCAGTGCAGCGGAGAGCCACGGGAAGGTCTACGGCGTCCACGTCCACGTCGTGCTGCAAAGAAAGCGATGCACGAGCGCCCTCAAACTCAACAAACTCCCAGGAGGTAGCCCAGTAAGAGCCATCTCTCGGAGCTGGACAGATTGTCATCCGAGCAACAAGTATTGCACGCAATCTGTAGGCTTCTCACAAAACGGGACACTGTGCACTGCTCGACATGAAATCCACAACTGACCGATTTTGAGGAACAACGATCCACTCAGCACGTGGCGAGTACTTACCAGCGGCAGCAGTCTCGGATAGAAGTAGGCCACGGTACTGGCCACGTCCATGCTACACAGGGACAGCATGGCAAAGCTGCGGTCGTCCGTCGTCAACTCGGGCCCTGGGAAAGAACCGAACAGAGTCGACGGTTGTGGTCACCCGCCCAGCTACGCGACCGTTGGCGCCACGGTGCCTGCAACGTGCCGACGCGTTGACCGTCTGGCTGCATGGCGACCTACGGCAGAACACGCGTCTGCCACATCCGCCGCCGCTGATGCGGCAACAACGGGATTGGGGCAGGTAAGAGCTCACGAAACTTCCACGACATCGTCGGGTGGAAATCGAGGAACCAATTTCGAGGGTACGGCAGATGCACCAGTCAGAGACACGTTGCAGGCACTTGGGTAGTTAACATGCTGTCCATTCACCAATGGCGGCAATGGCAGGCTGGCGAAGGAAAGAAGAAAGCGCGAGTACCTCCAGACAGGGCGTCGCTCTTGAGTAGGCAGTTGAGATAGAGGGGCAGCAGCTTCATGCACTCCGGCAGAATGAGCTGTCCCGAAGAGGACGGGCTGGCGCAGTGCTTGCGGTAGGCCGCCAGCATCTGGGCGGCCTTCGACACGCAGCCTTCCTTCACCTGGCGGGGTCCCTGCTCCAGCAGGTGGCGCACTCCTGCGGATGACACATGCACGGACTTGAAAAATGCGTGTGCAAATGGCACGTGCGGCGCGAACGGGCTTCGGAGGTTCTGCCGAGAAAGACTTACAGGCACCCCTCTTGGAGCACCCGAGCATACCTAGGATGCTGTACGCCGAATTAATCCACATTCCCCAGCGAACCGATCCCGCCGGCGAGCTTACCAATGCCGCCACTGCCGCAATGCACCGACGGAACCTTTTTCCTCTGCACGGGCAACAACCTTGCTACAACCCCGCACGTGCACAGCACGAGCCGTCTCGTGCATTCACAGCTTGCCTGCCATGAACTAAGCTATGGTGACGTCGCACATACGGCAAACGCTTGGCAAGATCTGTCCATCGGTTGCAAGCACCGCAATGAAATACACGCTTTGCGTTGTTGTCTTAGCGTGTGAGACACGTAACACGAGGGAGTGGTGCACCGCGATTTGCATACAAGAGTCTCACGGGGCACACGCATCATACACTGGCACATTTGTTGCCGCTTGTAAGACAAATGGAGACACATCAAAGGTCTTTAGTTGCTAGTTCTCCGCTTTCGCCTATCTTTTCCACAAACAAGTCTTGCAGGCGTCACTAACCCTCCCGACAATGAAGAGGAAGGTTGCACTTGCACTTCACAACGAAAACTCGGGTATGTTTTAAGCGTGCCCACCGTCGCAGAGAGGCCCCGCCGTGCGACTCTCGTCCTCACCCTGCTTTGCCAGGAAGTTGACCATGGTGTCGAGGTCACAGTTGCGGTACATGTCGGCCATCTGGACACAGGTGGCCAGCGAGAGGTTGTGCAGCCGCAAGCGGCGCTGGCCGCCGCACGTTGTGTACAGCAGGGCCACTTGCACGTACGCCCCCTCCTCCTCCACCAGCTTGTCGTCATACTTGATCTGCGTGCCAGCAGCAGGGTTCAGAGACACCCTCCTTTATTGTCCTCAACGCCGCGTTCTGCCAATTCTCAGAAAAAGCTTTCCCTCCCTTTTGGGAGTCATAGGTAGGGTTGGGCAAGCCACAGGTGCACCTTGCCCAACCCTGCATGAGACTTGCAGCCGGTATCGCCCACTTTCGGGCTGCACTTCTCAAACCGACAAGCCTGTGCCAACTCTCTGTTAGTCAAATGTAAACCATCAATACAAACGATGCAACGAATGGGAACTATTTCCTTTCCCGTTCCGTCAAAATACGAGAACTCAAAACCTTGGAGCACCCCTCTGGCGTACTATAGATTGCGGTAGTAGTCGCACATTGTAAACTACAATCCACAGGACTCCTACCAGTGCCACAGTCACTGACATGGTGAGACCAGCAGAGCTTGTCTTTCGAATGTCCAGCCTCCAGCACGTGCTCGTTGCAGGTGGGAAGCTCATGCTGGAGGCGGGACAGCCAAAGTTCCTCCCTGCCATTCTCGTTCTACTGCCCACCACAGTATAAATCGGCCCCCCCGCCCTTGTCACCTCGTCAGGAGAGACGCGTTGGCCCACCGCCACCCACCTCAACGGCGATGCACTTGTTGCAGTCCAGGGCTGCCAGCTCGACGTCCGTCGTGTTGGCCATGTAGTAGTTTCCGTAAAAGTCCGTGGGGCGGATGCCCGTGCTCGTGCGCACCCGCATCACTGCGTCAAAGGCCACGGGCTGCGAAACGTCCCGCCGGAGGTCCTCCAGGAAGCGGCTGCCCTCCACGTCCTCCTGCGGACCCGGCCTGGCTCAGGGGACGTGCCTGCCAACCCCGTCCCCAGAGGATCCCACAGACGTGCCACCGCGAGTGAACTACTCTTTTTCATACGTCCCCAACTGAAAAATTGCCCGACCTAGCCATTCTATAGGGTGTTCACGAACATTGTCTGGTCGTGAAAAATGGAAAGTATGAACAAGCCAATGAACGGCGAGTGAGGAAGCTTTTGATAAAGGTGCCTAAGTGTTGCATTTATCATTCTCAAAATCCGTGAATGTAGAACCCCATGATAAAAATGGAAGAAAAGAAACTCGTTATTCCTGCACATAGTGAAAGAAAAAAGGGAAACAAGCCGTCCGGTTGGTACTGCTAATAAAAGACGGCACCAGATGAAACAAAGACTTGAAAGCTTCTTCGAGATTAACACCCCAAAGCAGGTCCGAGCATGTGTGGTAACATCGTTAAGGAGCAGGGTCAACAAGGTGGTTTGTTTCCATTTTTCTCCGTATGCGGAGGAAATAATTTTACAGCGAAGCTGTTATGCATTAGGATCTGGGAAAAAAAATGCGTCTGTGGATATTGACAGAAAACTCCCCATTGGTCGTGGCAAGTATGAATAAATAAAAATAAAAAGAGAGGGCAACCAGCATGAGTCGGCCTTCCATGGCATCATTAGATAGTGAGGTCCTGATCCCTTTTATCATCTCTAGGCATCATCCTCGAGGTTGTCCTAGAAGTCATCCGAGAGATCGTCCTAGAAGTCGTCCTTGAGGTCGTCCCAGACAACGTCGTCAAGTCATCGTCTAGCCGTCGTAAAAATTACAGCTTCGCTGGTCCTCCATTTTCACGTAAAGTGGAAGGGCTCTACAATTTTTTGCTTTAGCTGTATTCTTTTCTATGTGTCTATACACTCATGAAATTTTAGTATAATAAATGCACTACCTTAAAGATGCCTTTGTAGAAAGCTTAATTGCCCTCTAATCATTGGCTTATTTATATGTTTTTTCTTGAGACAGAATAGCACTCGCAAACACCTCATAGAGGCGTTGGCTGTTTTGGTCCCTTGCCATTTCTGACTCCAGAAACCCGGACCAACCCTTTAAAAAATTCTAGGTGTCGCCTTTCTAGTTATTTGAGCAGATGTTAAGATTTGGTCCGACGACCAAACAGTTCTAAGAGTACTGCTTTTGTCGTAGAAAATGCATCATCTTCTATGCACTCTGTGTAGCTCTATTTAGAGCTCTGGAGTACTGGTCCAGCCATATTAAAACCTTTAGTAGGTGAGCAAGGCAGATACCAATTCTGTAGTCCACCCCACAAGCTGAGGGTTGCTTTGTTTGTATGATCCCTTGTGCTAGCAAAAACCATTTACTCTTCCAGCCACCCACAATGCTTCTGGAGCTCGTGAAGTGGAAGGCATATCACCCTTTCAGTCTTTTTGCAGCTTTATCTAGCCACTGTCGAAACCTTAGCTGCTAGGTATAGAATATTCAGTGCTTTAATTCTCTCACATCCCAAGTGCACCCACAGTTTTCACTTTCAGAACTTGTAACAAAACTTGTCAGAGACCCTCTGCATGACAACAAAGCGACACCAACCTCGACCAAGTGAGTTAAATTTTGGCTCCAGCACGAAAGTAACCGAGCGCAACATTTTATGGAAAAACTTTCCGAGACAGCCGTCCAGGGCTTTCTGTGCCATCAGGAAATCCCAGAGAACGCAAACACAGCCCGCGATCTCCTTAGCCAACCACCACCGAGGGATATTAAAATCGTACCTGAAGCAGCTGGGTGCTACTTTCCCTTATTGTTTTGTCCTGTGCATTCTGTGTGTTCTGCAAGAAATGTACACGGTTTGATGACCTTTCCGGAAAAAAAAATAAAAAAGAAAACGGTGCAGCGCAATGAAAAGCGAAGCTGGTGTTTCCCACGCATGCAGCCAAAGGAGACGGTGCCGGAGCCATTCCGTTAGTGCCAGGAGAGACCCCGCCCAACTGCCCCACGCCCGACATTTTGACTGAAAGGCCGAGAGCGCAGTGCAGCGCGTGCCCCAAAGCGCCAAGCGCGAGAAGTGGCGGCCCACCTGGAAGTAGGTGTACTTGTACACCTGACCGCCTGTCATTTTCGCCACCTGGCCGATGGTGGCGATGTCCACGTATGCATTGTGGAACAGGAACAGATCCACGCAGCAGCCGGCCGCCACGCACTCCTGGCCCAGCTGGTTGTAGAACGGCGACTGGGGAGTCAGGATCGTCTGGGCGAGCAAGAGACGTCGCTTGTCGTCGGGAGGCGCTCAAAGAGGCTCTCGTATGAAGCCTTTCGATGCGTTTGTATTTGTTTTGCAAGTCACAAGGATCGTGCAGCCCTTAGAAGCAAATGGCGGCGCAGCACTCGCACGAGGCACATACTCTGCCCGTTCGCAAAACAATACTTGTCGGTACTTATAGAAATGCAAAGAGTGAATTTTATGGACGGTCTAGTCGAGGTTGTAGTCTAGCCCTAGTACTACTACAAGGGTATCAGGTTTCGAGCGTGTAGTCTAGTTCCCAGCACTGCTACAAGAAGTGGCTCGTGCTTCTGCTTTGAAGTGGTTGTTCAGGCACGGTGCCTACGGAAACAGGTTTGCACACAAATCGGGGCTGCTTTGAAGAAGGAAATCTGCCATCAAGGGAACAAAGGTAATGTTACGGCACCAGAGGGTGCCGATATTGCGCCGAAGGGGTGACCAATAAATAAGCATTCAGCTACATAACTATTTACAGATTAACACATACTGCGTGGTAATACTGCTCGGCGGCGGAACTGCCAAGCAACAAATATTGGTCATCGCATTCTTCACGACTTCCGCCAGCGTGCTCTGAACACAAAACGGCCTTTCTTGGCACTGGAGCGGCAAAGAGCGTTTGGCCTAAAGGGGGCTTAAACAAGTCCCCACCTTCTCCTTGTCGGTGCTGAGAAGCTTGCGGTCGTCTCTGTTCTTCAGCTTTCCCGGCGCGTCCGCAATCGGCAGGCTCGTGTGGAACACAAACAGCTTGCCTGCACACTCTGCGGCCTGCAAGAAGAGCGCACATCCCGTCGGCAATGTGTGCCAAGCATTGCAACAAACAAGCTTTGACCGCACTACATTGAGCCTAAACTTGGTTTTGCATTTGCGTCTTGCTCAAGTATAGAGTTAGCATTTGTTTTCATTATAACCACATTCTATTTTTGGGGGATTCTCAAGCCTTTTGAGTCTCAGGAATGCTCCAGCCAGCTTCTAAGATGCGAAAAGGACACTCTTCCTCCTGATGTTCTGAGAAAATTATAAAAGGAAGAGCTTACAATCTCAGAAGCTTTGCCAGCAACACTAGAGACTAGGGATGAGCGGTGCATCAAAGCATGGCTCAGCTATGCTTGAATGTGCCTGACCCTCGAGTGCCAAGAGAATATGGGTGCTCTATTGACACCTGAGGTTGCCCCAGTCAACACCTTATTCAAGACTGATTTTTTCTAACTGTGCTACCTCGAGTACAGCCGATTTTTAGAGACAATGTTTCTCAAGTTCTTCCTGAGAAATTAAACAAACTGGTTGATTGATATGAGTCAGGTGAAGTGACCCCTGGGGGAGGGGGGCAGCAGTCCAAGAATTTGCCTACCTTGAGAGCCTCTAAGCCAGCTTGAATGGCAGATCCCAGAACTGTGTCCGTTTCTCGAGTGTCTGCAAACAGGCCCGGGATCTGCTCCAGCAAGCTGCAAAAGAATGGACATCTTTGTCAACACCTGCTAACATCATGCTGCAGACGCATGTGCACAGTGTACTAACATATTAACACGAAACAATGCCTTTGTCCCATCCATTTTGCGCAGTTTTCCATTATGTCGATCAATTGTCAACTTGCCTAGCAATCCACCATTTTGCGGAACGCAATGGCCAAAACATACTCTTGCTAAAACACACCCACCCAACCAACACTTAAAGGGGTACTCCGCCGATTTCTTCATGGTCTCCGATTTGCTTGAAATTTTGCTAAACTCGCCAAACAACATCGCCAAAATAGTATCCCAAATATTAGGTCAAAATAATTTTTTTTCACGAAGTTATTGAATTTACAATTTTGGTCCTCACCGTGTTTTTCAAATTGAAAGTCTCTACTGGCAACAATGAAAAAGTGACGTCATTGGAAGTGCAGGGGTTCACTCTTTGGACTGTAGAATTTGTTCCCAACTGATTCGAAGCAGTTTCATGGTGTCAAATGAATGCCTTGGAAGCTCGCTCCAGTTCCCGCGCTCCAGCACGGAACAAATGATTGGCATATTCTATTTTTTAGACTGCTCGCCCGACTGGCAAGCTGAACTTCCACTGACGTCACGGCCCTGAAAAGGGCGGGTATATTTGAATGTCTGTTTTTGCATCATTTTCATTTGCCGATTTCGCAATAACTATTATGAATTTCACGATACTAAATAGCATACCAGAAAGGGTAAAGGCCTGGGAGTCAGAAAATATAGTTAGTTGAGGTAGCTCAAAAACCGGCGGAGTACCCCTTTAAGGGTGGACACTGGCTAGAGGTTAAACTTCTGAACTACTCATGTGATTGGAATGAAATTTGCAGGGGAGATTTAACTTCAGATGTAGGTGTAATGAGCAAACTTTCAGCTCTCTAGGACAACTTTACATACCTGCATAAAAAGATGTGTCACTCTTCGTTAAGAAATCTATGATATGCAAATGAAGCTATTAAGCATCATTTTAACTGCTTGAATATAAAGTGGGGGAGGATGTGGGACTTCCGGCTATCTAGTTTTTATAAATCAAATGTAAATATTTCAGGAAGAATGATTACCTCAAAATATGAGATGCATATCTGTCCGATGTCAATTTTTTTTAATATTTTTTTCTCAATGAGGATTTTAATTTAAAACGAAATAAAGTAGATAGCCCGATTCCCCAGGAAATTTCAGATCAGAAATATCTTGATTGTGGTATCAAAATAATTTTACCTTCGAACAAAAGATTCCTTCGTATGAAATTCGGAGCAAAAAGCGAACTGAGAAAAATGCATTAAAACATTGAACTCCTTAACTTTGTTCCTGCCTCACAATGTGCTGAAAATATTTTATATCAACGTAACTATTTGACGCATGGTTATAAAATTTAGTGTAAGGGTGTATATTAGTTTTAAAACCAAAACCTTCAAAATTGAATTAATTGTTTCAAAAAATTTTGGAACTCAGGCTTATGTCCCCCCTTAACTCGAGTTAAAAGGCGACTACAAAAGCAACAATAAGTGTGCTATGCTAAGCGATCCCACTGGACAAGAATTTTCCAGATTATTGTTTACAAAATTAAATTTCAATATCTGCCTTTGAACTTTTCTGCAGCTGTATGCCAATCATACATATTATGGTAGGAAACCTGGGGCTTAGCATTAGCAACAAATACTACTCTACTACAACCATTTATCACTGAAGGAACTTTCTTGCGGGAGTGTGAGTCTTTTTAGTTGTTTCTTCTTGTATGTTTTTCATTGTGCTTGCAAAAGGGCCTTTAAGTAATCAATAAATGAAATGAAATAAAATTGCCAGATGTACCCGATGACAAGTGTAACATGTGCATGTTACAAAAAATCCAACTTTCAGAAACTTCAAAGTTCCTAATTTAGGGGATAGCAACATGTGGGTGACTGGTAACTACATACCATTACCAAATGTAATAATGTATTAGGTTTATGCACCACTATCAATCTCGATGTGTGTATCTAAAACATGAAGGGCAATAATATCTCAGACAAAAATAAAGGAGCAAGAGCTTAATACGACTTTGATCCTGAAAAATGTTCCAGGATGTCTCAAGTTATGTGCTCAAATGAGGGCGATCCCCTTCAAAGGTGCAATGCACACATATTTTATGACACACAAAAGTTATGTGAGAATTTGTCTAACAGAGAAATGCTTTACACAACACAAAAAGGCAAAGGATTGAAGGACCTGAAGCTAGGTGTAATAGAAGACAAATCTCAAGGAAATGTGACTCTTCGGGACATTTCTTTGTTTGGATATCGGTACAACCGAGTTACCGAGCCTTCCACAAAGGCTAAACATGTTTTTGAGACATGTTCCACCTTATTTTGAAACGAATGATACCTTTCAGTTCCAGTCTACCATAAAATACCAGGCAAGCGCCCACTCAAAGTTTGGAGATAATCGCAAAGAAATGGGGGACGAATGCTTGTCCGGTCAACAATTTTACATATAAATGTACTGTGCGTATTTTCTCAGATCTCCCAAATTGAGTAATGGGTGCTTTATGTGAAATGGGCGGATGCGCGGTATTCTACAATATATCTTCATGAAGGTTCCTCAGTATTGGTTCTGTAATAGAAAGCGATGCGTATAATGGTCATTTCGTCAGACAAATGCACGTACCCGTGCGAGCTAAGACCTAATTACATAAAGTTACATAAAAAGGTTGCCTGACTTAAGTCACTGTCAAATGCAGTTAAGGTGTGAGAGCACCCGATTTGTTTTTTTTTTTCCCTGAGCGGCGCTTCCTATTAAAATTTAGCACCACAGTTGACATATTTCCCCACTAAACTTAGCGAGGAAACTGTAACTGCATGAGACACTTGTGTCCCGTGGTACCATGGCATAACGTGACGGCACATGACATCACATCATGTTGCGTGACACCGCGATTTCTCCAGAGACTGATGTCATGTGAGATAGTGACATCATGCAGTCGGACCAACACTAGCAAAAGAGACTTGCAGATGGTTCCTACTTAAAGCTATCGCTTTAAAACTCCAATTAGAGTGCAGCTCTTAGGCGCTCGTTCCCGTGTTTCACGGCGTCACTGTCGGCGTAACCTTGCGTGTTGCATTATGGGACGTCACAGACCTACACACCGGTTCCATTCCACGCTAGCGAAGAAACTGAATTGGTGTGTAGGTCTGTGATGTCCCATAATGCAACACTGTGCAATCAGTTTCCCCGCTAAATTTAGAGGGAAAATTGTGGGAGGAATGGAGGTTATGAAGGAGGGGGAGGAGGAAGATGAGGAGGGGACAGGGAGGACCCAGAAGAGGAGCAGGGGAGGATATGGAGGAAGAGAAGGAGGGGAAAGGGAAAAGGTCACAGATGAGGAGCAGGGGAGGATATGGAGGAAGAGGAGGGGAGGGTATGGAGTACATCCTCTTTCATACCCTTTCCTCTGCCTCCTCAAGAGCTGCACTCTTAATTTTGCATTACAGTTACAGTTGAACCTCGATGTAACGAAGTCGGTAAAATTCGCAATTTACTTCGTTACATTGAAATTTCGCTAAATCGAAATTTGGCTTTAGCATGCAAAAAAAAAAAAAATTCCGAAACATTTTACGGGTATGAAACTCATCGAAAATGACATTTATTTAGGGGCAAAGTAGTCCGCGAGTTTTGCTTGCGCCTTGTCCGACAGTAGCAGCGGCGTCGGCGGCGTCATACGGCGTTCGAGCGCCCAGAGCGCTTGCACGGCATCTTGCTGCCCATGCGACGCCGTGTACCTCCTCAGTACGTCCATTGCGTAAGCACTTCTCGAGTGCTTGTGATCTCGGCAGTTCCTTCAAAATGGCGTCCAAAACGTTTGCTTTCTCATCCAAAGAAAGAACTTTACGTTTCCTTATGGCAGCAAGCACGTAAGTGAACCGCCCGGTTAAAAAATAAAGCTGTTTAGTTTAGGCAGTTTAGGCGGTGCCAATGTTTCCAACCTACACAGCACTCTTGACCGCACAGTTTACTTGCCCCCTTGCGCCCACAGTGTGCTTGCGCCTTTGCTTTACATCACGCTCGCAAGACGATAATCGGTCTTTTCGGTCTTCTCCTAGATGGCACTGCCCGTGCGGTCGCGCGGTCGCGCCATCACGTCGCTCCCCCGCTCCCCCACTGAAGTTGGCTCCCGCGCTACCCGCGGTACAGTGGACTATGATGATCAGTGAATGTCAGTGGTGATGCTGTTATGCCGTGTTAACTTTTTGCTCGGCATTTTCTGGCCAGCCTCGCGGAATCCGCTTTGCCGCATGCCTCGCCGGCGCTACCGGCGCCGCATCCTCGGGCAGCCTAGGAACGTTGGAAGGTCTGTCCCCGTGAAGTAACCTATCAAGCGCTCGAGTTTGCGCATAATTTTTTTTTTTTTTGACCACAATTTTTTTGCGCAGTTGTTTTTTAGAGTTGATTTATTTATTGCTTTCTATGGCAATGGCGCTTCGTTATATTGAAATATAGCAGCAAAATAGACTTCGTTATATAGGGACTAAAAATACATGGGTTCTATGGGCAAGAAATTATGAAAAATAAAATACTTCGTCAAATCGAGGATTTCGTTACATTGAAGTTCGTTATATCGAGGTTCGACTGTATTTGTAAATAACTTTCATTTTTGTAATTCTGTTCACAACAGGGTCAGGAGTGCAAAGTGGCATGTTCCGCTGCTCACCTGTCCACGGTGCTGGCAGCCTCCTCCACTGAGACGAGGCAGCCGTCCAGCAGGGGCACGAACATGTCGTGCACGTCTGGAACCACCAGCATCTGGGGCTGGGCAAGGCTGGACTGCGTGCCACAAGGTTTGTAAAAAGAGTCCGTCAAGCGAGCTTCGGCCCTTGTGGACATTTCGCACCCACCTTGATGTTGTAGAAGTGGACCACGCTGCTGTACGTGATGAAGCCCACGCGAACCCTGGAACGGTCCTGGCCTTCCTCTCTGTAAATGTAAAGAGCCAAAACTAAGCAACCAATGGCAGCCAAGGTCCGGGCACTGGTCACTGCAATCGCGCATCCTGACGTAAGAGCAAACAGAGGGGTGAGCTTGTGATGACCTAGCATGTTTGAACTCGAGAAAAACGAAAAGGCATTTAAAAGGGGTCCATTTTTCCCCGAGTTTCAAGTCCTGAAATTTCAAAATTCCCTGCTTTTTTAAATGCAAAAGTGCTTCTAGGGCCAGCAAATTGCGACATTGTCTGTGTGCATTCGTCGCAGCTCGACATCAAAGTTTAGTGAAAAGATATGAATTGGCATATAATTATCACACCAATTTAGCAAAAATTGGTGTGAAAACAGCGGTGCACTGAGTTGGACCGAGATCGCCGATCTCGACAGACATCTGAGAGGCACGAAGGATTCAAAATCTTGTTGCATCGCATCTTCTCTGACAACAACCAAAAAAAGGCATACATTTTTTTTTTTTTTTCAGCATTTTTAGCTGTCAGTTGTTGATAAAAGACATCTTAAAGGGGCATGTCTAGAATACTCTGGAATAAAAGCGCAAACTCACTTGGGGAGCTCATCCAGAATGCTGCGGATGTGCGTGCAGAAGAGTCGTACGAGGCCGTTGCGCACGCTGTTGTACGACACGTCCAGAAGAAATAGAAAGGCTGGAGGGTTCGGGAACACAGAGTTCTGCGCACAGAGGTGGAGTCAGTGGATCATCTCTAGGAAGGTTGTCGTCGTGACAATGGGCAGATGTAACATGAAGCCACAGTCATCACTTTGGTCACTCTCAGTGGAAATTTATTCTGTTGGAAGCACCCACTGTTACATGGGGGTGGTAAGTTATCAGCTAAGTGTTTTATTACCATACCTTTTTCTTTTCTTTTTATATATTCAGCTTGCTTGTAATGCATAACGCCCATTCAAACATTTTTTTTGCCTGGGACAATTAACAGATGAAATCTTTTACTAAATTTAGTCCAAACCCTTCCGTCATTTAACAGCTTTGCTAACTAGGTAGATCAGTTTTTCCATGAGTAGTTACTTTTATATGAGGTATTCTATGTTAGGTACCATGTCTTACTTTGAAGTATGGCTTCAATTATGTGAGCTGATGTATCCTTCGAATAAATAAAATAAGATATTGACCATAAGATCAATCAATCAATCAATCAATCAATGTTTATTTTTCTCTTGTGCTAACCAACAGCTCGAAAGCCTACTGGGTTAAGCACACACAATTGAAATACACACAAAATACAGAGTAAACAAAATAAAGAGTTGTGAAAAAAAAAGAAAAAAAAAACATGCAAGCACACAAACGTGTATATATGTTAATTAAAAACACATGCATCAAAATGATCATTCTCCAAAAGACAGGTTTGTACTAAAAATATCGACGTCACTAAATTGCGTGTTTAAAACATGTTGGATACGCGAAACCGGTGATGCGTTTCGAATGAGGTCTGGGTAAAAGACTCTAGGATTTCTAGAGTTCGTTCTAAGTGGTATACGAAAGTGAACACAGGTGAGGAGAGTAGGGCTGTCTATTGCATTATGAATTAGCCTATGTAAAAACTGAACATCCCGAATGGACCTTCTTTTACCTAAGGTGCCCAATGTTAATTTTGCTAAAATCGAATTATATTCATAAAAACACTTTCTTCCAAAATATCGGTCGTAAATGATGCGCACAAATCGCTTTTGTACATGTTCTATACTTTCACTTGCTGTTATAGATATGCAGTTCCAGACTACAGATGCAAATTCTAGTTTCGAGCGTACATGGGTACTATATAATTTCAAGAGACAGTGATGAGTGATAAATGGTCTAGTTAAGCGAGACATTATTCCTAGCGTGCGCAATGACTGGCTGATAATGGAGTTTACATGAGAAAGGAAAAAAAGATGGTCGTCCACAAGAACACCTAGGTCTCGCATCTGCGTGGTCCGACAGATCGTTTCATTTTCCAGAACATATGCATAGGATAAATTGTGACGCTTTCTTGACAGCGACATGACTTTTGTTTTGCGCGGATTTAAGAAAAGATTGTTAGAACTGCACCATTCTACCACTGAACGAAGATCGTCCTGCAGCAAAGTACAGTCAGTGATTGAGGTGACCTCCCGAAACAACTTCACGTCATCTGCGAACATAAGTAATTGATATCGATCACTCTTGAAGAACTTTCAGTGATTAAGTCGTCTCTCATTAATTCAAACTCCAGGAAGCCACAGACTTTAGTTTACAATATCAGAAGTTTGAATTGTCCAGTGCCAACATTGGGGTAACATGTTAACAACAGATTTAGCATAAAATTAAACTTGAAGGGACGCCCAGCTATTCTAATCGGGGGAATTTATAAATCTGTTCACTACATGCAAATATTCTTTCTTTAATCTGGAATTTAACCACCTCAAAAAATAAAAAGACAAGCACGAATAATGAAACCAGATTCTCAGGAGAGTACTGCCTGCATAATCGTGGTGAATTAGTCCCATTGAGTGCGCTTCTCACCAAGCACCCACGTATTGCGAAAAAGCAATGCCTGTGAGCTTCGCAGGCATTGCTTTCCTACAGTACAGACGTGCTCAGTGAGAAGCGCACTCAACGGGGCTAACCCACCGCAATTAACAAATAGTATGAATTAAGTGAAAATGCTGCTTGAATTACCGTATTTACTCAAAAATAAGATATAGGTCGACTTTCCTTCTTTTTTCATTCCTTTTTTTTTTATGGAACAGAGGAAAGTTTGTGAAAAAGAATGAACCAAATCTTTACTTGCAGCACTCTCAGCTAAATCACAGCGCGATGCCAAAGACTTAATCATCGTCAGAACTTTCAAACATGTCACTGTCGTCGGAAGCTTCGTCCACATCCTCACTAATTCGCAACAATATCTCACTGACACCATTGCAAAATGGCAACAACAAGAAACGAAAGAAGGTGGAGACGGGCGAAGCGACGAAAGACCAAATATAAAGACGCGAGCGCCCCTGCCAGCCGCGGCGAGAGCCGCCGTGAGCAACAAGAAACGAAACAATGGTGACGGTGCAGGCTAGCTGGTGTAATTTGAGCATAGTTGTGAATCCGAGACCGGGGATAGGGACAAGGGGCGAAAACACATAACGACAAGACAAAGTCTCGTCCGCCTGTGTCGTCTCGGGTTCACAGCTATGCTCAAAGAAGCGAAACCTCCGTAATTTCTTTCGCTGCGCGTCCGCGAGGGGGAAAGGCATGGAGGGGAGGGGGCAAGGTGCATGGCGCCAGCGTGGTGCGTCGCCTTCCCCCTTGCATCGCGAGGGGCATGCGTGAGCGGCTCTAGCCAAAGAAGTTGTGGACAGGTGCAAAACCCAATGCCCGAGTGACGCACGCAAGCGGCGGCCAGCCGGCTGCTGCTGTTTCGGTTGTATTCTTCTGAAACAAGAAGCAACGCGGTGCTACGGCCTACGCCGGCTCGGTAACTCGTTAGCTTCATGCGCTTGGCAGAATCGCGAAATTAGATCACAAATGTAGGTCGACCCTTAAATTTTGACAACATTTCAGAAAAAAAAAAAAAACAGTTGACTTATATTTGAATGATTATGGTAAGCAGCTTATAAATGCCTTGAAAATATAGCAGGACAAACAAAATTTTAAAATTCGTCTGAATCAAGCACAAGTATGAAATATCCGAGTTTGAATTATCTCGAGCAAACTATAAATCTATTTCTTTCCCTTTCTTTGAAACAAAGTTACGACTGTTTCCGCAAAAACTTACAGAAAAAGTTTTTGCAGTTTTTTTGTCAGGGCAGGTGCATTAAAGCGGCACAGAATTCTAAATAATGTTTAAAACTGGCTGAAATAGAGCGGGACTTTGCCACAAAAAAAAAGTGAAGGAAACGAGCAACGAAAGTAAACATTCTTAACCAGATGACGAACCCTCGCAATGGCAAATTCAGAAAGGAGACATCATGACCTGAAACACTAAAAATCAAACTGTCCAGCAACTCTTTACAGTTTCCTGGATTTGTGCCAATTCACACAGCATCACCTGACTATGTTGCAAAGACTTCCATAATGATCACGATTTCGCGGGACATCCGGGATTCGTATGAAGCATAGTTACGAATTCACCGAGGAACGACTTTGGCATGGACTTAGAAAACATGGGTGTCCTGGTACCTTGTAGTCATGTCTCAATGTGATACAGCGTCAATAAACCTTTACGAGTGAAAGTCTTCCTCCACATAATTCTACCTTCGTCTGTCCATTGCAGATACTTCAGACAGTGGGGCCGTGTTTCCCAAACCTTAGGACTTGGGTTGTGGAGAGCGGGCTCACCTTGCAGTACTCCCTGGTGGCCACCACCTCGTACGAACCGAGGCAGAGCTCCGGGCGCTGGAACTTGTCCGACCGCTGTCCCAAGTGGTCCAGATGGGCGAAGTAGTGAGCAGGCACTGCGCAGGTGGCGGGAACGTGGCATTAGTTGCACTCTGAACCTGTTTCTAGTTTGTTTGCCGATTGTTTTTAACGTAAAACATTCTTTGGCTGGGTGCTCAGCATTTCGTGGAGCCTGGACAAAGGTGAGACCTGAATAACGTGGCCAAGAGGCTCAACACTGACGAGTTTTGAGTGAGGGGGAAGAGGCCATCGCAATAGAAGAGCATTTGTGACAGGCGGGAATGAAACGCAAACCGTTTAGAGTATTAAGCGTGTGTCTTTCCAGCATGTCACGACACATTGCCAAGAATTGAGGTGTCATTTGGCAGGAGAGCTCTGTAGGGCATCCGCTCTGCATCTGGCAACTTGACACTTTGTAACAAGTTTTTAAAGCCCGGGTTAGCGCCGGTGTCTCCATTCCAGAAATTGCTATAGAGTGTACATGCCACGCGTTAAGCCAGACGCCTAACTAACTGATAAGAGTGCCGAGAGCGTAGATGCCATATGTTTCACGTGCAATGCAATTGCCCAGCAATTTGCTACGCATTTTTTTTTTGTGCAAACTCATTCGTTGAACAGCTTTCTATCACCTGTGGCGAAACTTTTAGCAACACAGCAGCACTGTGTGGATACTGTAGTGTCGTCGGATTAGTGTCGGACAACAGCTAGCGCCACCTGGCACTAAGAGAAACAGACCTGTAAGGCCATGCCCGGAACAGCGGCAGTCAAGATGTAACTGGGCCAGGGGATCACTCCCTGGCCCGGTCCCAAAGTGCATATATACATAAGTGCGAGGGTGGGCAAGTTCACGCGTTGCTTCTTTTGCTAGTTAACGCAGAACCATGTGCCACTAAACTGCAAGCAAGGGCCATTTTTAACAGTGACCCAACAAACAGAACATTGAGGCGACTATTCTGTGATACACATAAAATATAAGCCTAAACGAACAAAGTCCAGAATAAAAACAAAAATGGTCAGGCCCCTGGCTGCTGTTAGTTCTTTCTTGTGGCCATTGCCCATCGAAAGGCTAGGCCCCTGCTTATGGCCAGAGGTCCAGCACAGGGGTGTCCCTCACCTTCAGTGGTGCCCTTGCAGAAGACACATTGGAAGCGCCTACCCCCATCAATGAACTGCATCAGTGGGCACATGTAGGCCTTACACCGGTTGCACCGGACAGGGCCTTCCTCCCCAAAGTCGCTCAGGGGGAGTTCACTCTGAAACCGAGACAGGACTTCAGCCCACGACTCGGGCACAGTCACGGGACACCTTCCGGACAGCTTACCTCGCCGGGTGCCAGTCGGGCAAAGGGGCTGATGCAGAGAGCGAAGGGTACAGCCGTCTGACGCAAGACGTCAGGATTGCAGGGGACACTGTACACTGTAGAGCGCACAAACCGAGGGCTGCAGATCCCTATAGGGAGAAAGCACTTTGAGCTGACTCTGCAAAGTTCATCCAATATATGTGCAGAATCGAGGCACCCTAGAACAATGACCCCGATCCAAAATCCTCAGGCATCATGAGGTAGGGCAGATACGAATATCTCCTTGGTGGCGACGAGGTGTTTACGAATAGGAACACCGCAGCCCTGCCGATGCTGCTTCACACCTGGCCTGCCTCATGACGTGGCAGAGGTTAGATCCGAGTCTATGTGAGACATACACTGCATCTCCCTATTCGAGTCAAACTCACCTTCGTCGTGCACCACGAAATCGGTGGTTACCAGAGGGGGCACGAGGCCCCGCTTGCTGGTGTAGAATGGACCCCCACGTGCCTTGCGATCATCTTCTATCACTTGGATCTGCAACAGTGGTCGCAGGTTACTCTTTAGCAGGGCCAAACAAATCGAGACCTGGTTACCGGACTGGGCATCTGGTCGGGGTCAAGCTTGCGCTGTGCCTGCTGCGGTTGAGGGGGCTGTGCCCCGTGGCCCATTTGAGGACCCCCGTAGCCTTGGGGTGCACCTCCATAGCCCATGCCAGGACCCAGGCTGCCGGGACCATTGGCCTGAGGGTAGGGAGCCCCAGGAGGGGGTCCCTGGGAGTGGCCATGGGGGGGACCATGTGGGGGCCCATGTGGCATGCCTTGTGGGGGTCCATGAGAAAGGCCTTGAGGTGGACCATGAGGTGGTCCATGAGGTATTCCTTGTGGTGGTCCGTGCAGAGGGCCCTGGGGAAAACCCTGGTGAGGACCCTGGAGATGTCCTTGTGGAAGGCCTTGAGGGTGCCCCTGGGAAAAACCTTGCGGTGGACTCTGAAGAGACCCTTGAGGAGGCCCCTGGGGAGGCCCGTGGGGAGGTCCCTGGGGAGGTCCTTGGGGATGTCCTTGGGGATGTCCTTGGGAAGGTCCCTGGGGAGGTCCCTGGGGAAGCCCCTGAGGAGGTCCTTGTGGACTGCCTTGAAAAGACCCTTGAGGAGGTCCTTGGGAAGGTCCCAGAGGTGGTCCTTGTGAGGAAGCCGGTGGTGGGCCCCCGTAGTATGGCTGTTGCTGTTGCTGTGGCGGTGCTCCTCCAAAAGAAGGGGGTCCTGGAGGATACCGCTGGAACTGGGGGGCGGCTTGCTGCGGGCCAGGGGGTTGATTTGTTCCTGATACCCTGGAGGGTCCCAACGGCCCTTGGGGAATGTGGGGTCTCTGTGACAGGCTCAGGCCTCCCATTTGACCTGCAAGCTGCAATGGAAAGAATAGTTTAGATGTCTTATTCTCACAGTGTCTTCACCTAAGTATGAATACCTGGTCATGCATAGGACCTCCTTGGGCCTGGCTAGTAGGTGGGGCCATCCCAGGGGCTGCTGCATGTCCATGCAAGGGCGGTTGTCCTGGCACGAGCATTGGCCCTTGCATAGGCCCTAGGGGTGTATGCAATCCCCCCTGCACTGGTGCGAGTGTGGGGCCTTGTGCATGCCCAGGCCCCTGTGGTCCACCCTGGACGGGATGCCTGGCCAACATTTGGGGTGGCTGCCCGTTTGGCAAGCCTCCCTTGTTCTGCTGGGGAAAGGGCCCCTGAGTGAAGCCAGCTGCATACAGAAACACTGAATCATTCTCTGCTCACAGCCATGCTGCAATGAACAAAGCTTTCAGAGGTTGCAACAGATAAAATTCCAACATATAAATTGAAAAATCAACTTGCACACACACTTAAAAAAATGGTATATGTTGATGATGCACACTAAATGACAAATGAGCAGGCAGGGCAATGGTTCATTGGCTGAGATAATTAAATACAAATAAACAGCCTTTTAATAGCAGTGCAGGCTGCATGTTACTCTTGGAATCACCCACAATCCTTACATTCAAACCTTGTGTGGACCTGGAGTCAAGGTGTAATCTGCAGGTAAAGAAGCTGCCACCAAATCAAGGTCTACTAAAAATGTGAGGAGGGACTTTGATTTCAATGCAACAATTAGGTTCCCAGAATGTTCAGACAGTGTCCCAGCTTGTGATATTTAAGGTCTATTCACACGATGCATCTTGTTGGCGAATCTTGTGTTGCGAAACTAGGTTTCGGGAAACATATTTCCCATCTGAACGTAACGAAAAAAGTGGCCCGTCTCCGAAAAAAAAGTGGCGCGTGTTCCTCACTTCTGGAGCAATTTTTCACTGAAACCTCACCGAGGCCTGTCAATCACCCGAAAGAGAAACGCGGATGCTGCCAATGGCCGCTCGATTTCGCTACGACGTCTGACCTTCAAGGAAGAGCGAGCTTTTGGAGGAGTCTGATTTTTGGCCGATTCTGTATCCAAACCAAAGCCGAAAGAAAAAGAAAAAAGAAAAAAACATGGCGAGCGGGACGACAGGTGGAGAAGCAGTGCGTACGGGCAATGAGCCTTGGTCCTACTCGGTTGCAGGTGTGTGAACAGCGCTTTAGCAGTACAGGTTGGTGGTGGGGCGCAGATTCATCAACAGTTGCGACGAGTGCAAGCACCGCATATAAACATGACGGCTGGGGATAACTTTCTTTATTAGCGGTGCAAAAACGTCCGAAATGCTTCGAGATCATCCGCCTGTTCTTCGACGTTCGTGGTCTTTCCCGGGTCTGGCAGGACTAGTACACCCAGTGAGCCGAATCTGATGAGGTTCATTGAATAGTATTAATAAAACAGACTGTCTCTTCACACTGTGCATACTTCATATCATTTTGATGCGAAACGCTTGATATTCCCGGTGCAGATAACAAGGTTCGGCAAAATTCTTGCGAGTTAATATGTCACAGGTTTCGCGCGTCAAACTCCACGTCTGAACAGGCCGATTTCGTGAAATCTAGGTTTCACTAAACTGCAGCGCGTTGAAAAGATGCATCGTGTGAATAAGCCTTTAGTGTCTGCTGAATAGCCTTTTACAGCGACAACTGTTTTGGCCTCTTCCCACCACTGGAAATGGCATTCATTGTTGATATTGTAGTAGCTGTAGTTAGTGGTGTAGGGCGTCCGTTGTCGAAATTGTCAAATCCTAGAAAAAGATTGGCCGCCGCCCGCAGGAGTAGAATCTGGGTCCGCTGTGTGCAAAGCGGAAGCATTACCACCAAGCTATGACACAGTGCTAATAACCCACTCTAAATTTAGTGTTTTTTGGAACACCCAATGCCCCCTAGACGCGCTCTCTAGAATGAAAAATTAGCCTATAACAAAATGCCGTGGCAGCTATGTCAATGCCAAGAGCTCGTGCCGATAGACGCCCTTTCACACGCTCCGGAACAAAAACGAAAAACGTCCAGAACAAAACAAAAGCATTCAGAATAAATCAGATGTCTATTTTGTTCCAAACGCTTTTGTTCAGGCACCCAGCTGTTCCACGGTACGCGAACGCATTGCCGATGCCCAATGACTTTGCCGTGATGTGTCGCAGTTATCGCTGTAACTGTAGTGGATTAACGCAGGACTGCTCAATTTTTTTAGTCACCTTGGGAATAGGGCAACCTCAGAAAGTTGCTATTAATATGCATGCCTGCCAAGTTAGGCAAAACCAAATTCTGGAGAATTTCTAAGCCGAAGGGGGGGGGGGGGGGGGAGGTGGTGTTGCGGTTTTTAAAATAAATATTGATAACAAATTTACACGAAGACAACTTCATTACATTTATATTGCACTGCTCAAGCTAGTGAGATACAGCTGGGCCTTGTTATCATAGCAGCCGTTTGTTGCAATGGCAAAGACTCCTTGTTTAAGTGCGGGGCGGGGGAATTGCGTTTTCCAGAAGATTTATTTATTTGTCAATCGTACAACCACCAAAAATTGGTCAAACATCGGGAGTCTCTCGGGTAATACGGGAGATTGGGCAGGTATGAATACGGGAGTGTTCCGACACGTCAATGTGGCTGCCACAGCGACTCACCCTTTTGTTTACTCGTGCAGTATGGTGGTATTTAATCATTTAGAGTGGTAAATTGTTCTTAGCAATTTGATATAGCATATGTATGTGTGAACCTTCCATGCGGCATTGATAGCAGAAAACGTAAAAGTTCTTTTTTACGCTGACTTAGATCCAATGCTGTAGAGGGATAACTAACACGGTAGTGCACTGGCCCCAAATTACACCTCTAGGTAGAGACACAAGATGTCATATTCCAAAATGTCAAGATAGATAGGCTTCATCACAGCCACGAAGAAGCCAGGGCCCTCAACAAAACATTATTGCTATTCTGCCCAATTTGATCAAAGGAGCAATATGACCGCCACCTTTTCGTTACAAAAGATTGCACGAAGCAATCGCACCAAAGAGAAAAAAAAAATGGTTATGAGCTTTTGTAGCATGCACACACATTCTAAGAGCCCGGTGCTGATCTACTACCAGGGAAAGGTTCAAGAACTCTAAAAAACCAGAGGGTGCAGAACACACCAACGTTGCCGGCACCTGCACTGAAGCCATCGTGCCCGTTGTACGTCTTGGGGGCGGCCGGGTTCTGGTCGGGATGCGCCCCCGAAAAGAGGGGGGGCAAGTGGGGCTGCACGTGGGGCTCGCCAAAGGGCTGCCCCCCCGCTGGTCGCAGCTGCGGGTTCATGCTGCTGGGAGGAAAATAAAAGCGACTCTTCACCAAGTGTTCTTGTTTGCTGCTCTCTACGAGTTCTCATGTGATTCGACCCATAGGAGTAGCTCAGAGCTCAGATTCTATCGCGTTCCCCGCAATGAAAGCGACATTGACGGCAATATTTTTCGTTCATTTGTGCTGGAATATGCTTCTACAAAGTGCCTGTATGTTTGACGGTCCAGAAATTAGTACGGGGTGACATTCACCAGTGTGGAAAGGTTCAAGAACTCTAAAAACCAGAGGATGTAGGAGGCACCAAAACTGCCGGCACCTGCACTGAAGTCATCTACCTGAGAAGTATTTTTCGGTCTTTTGGGACAGATTGCCCTTCGCTCGATGGCGGACTTAGTGCGCCTACTGGAAATAAGACGAGTGTGGCTGTTTTCACCAGCGCGCAAAGGAAACGAGTGTTTTGCGTCTACACAAAATGTGTTTGAGAAAGGCTTCTCCTAGGAGCCACTCCACGGCACCACTGTTTTGTTGCATGCTTCCAGTAGGATTCTCTGTTTTGAGGTTCTATGCTTTGCAGAAAACAAGGAGTTAATTTCAGGTTTCAATTTTCAAATCAAAGGGGACATTTGGGTTTTTTTCTCCCGCCGATCTCAGATTTGCGAATCTTGGTGTTGTGCTAGCTGCTTGAAGCATGCAGAAAGCTCTTACTAATTGGCTATGGACGCTGTTCACTGAACTCAATATTGCTCTTTTATAGAATATGATTTCAGTTTGCAGTTTTGACAAGGCTTGAGAAATTAGCATCTTGTTGCATTTGGGAGAAATCTGGTTATACCAGATTTTTATGCACTAGTTTGGGGTGCAAGCTTCTGTTAAAATTATAAATTAAAGGAGCTGTGCAACAGTTTCAGTGCTTTGCTTAAATAAATTGGGAGCTAGTGTCTCGACCTTTCTGAAGTAAAGAACAAAAAACCGGTCTTGTCTGCATGTCCTAGTTTTTATTTTAAAAATAGACAAAGATTGAGGTTTTCGGCACCTCTCAACTCCTTCCGAACACGTGCGCTGTGACGTCAATGGGGGTGGCGGGGGGGTTCCGGTAAAGTTCCCTCACTAAAGCCATCAGTGAGCAGCGAGAAATCATCGCCTCGCGGCCGCGTGACCACGTGCTGGCGGGCACCGCGCGAACAATATGGTGAAAGGAGGAAAGCCTCATCCGGGTCCGGCCATACCCGTCCGGCTCTGTTCCCCACCCCTCCAACTTCTGGCGGCTGTTCGTGGTAGCAGATAGAGCTGACGGTTTCGTGGACCTAGGATAAATGGCGCCACTAAAACTCCGCATAATAAAAGTTTTGTCAATGATACCAGGTTTTTGATGCACTTATATTTATGCTGGAACGACAAGATTTATAGAAAAGTTACCTCTTATCGACCAGGTATTCGCACAATTTTCTATCTTTCTACAAGACCCCCCTTGACGTCATGCCACGTGTTTCTCATGGCCGCCGCTCGCGGCTGCAGGTCGGGGAATATTCTAATATTTGCCTCGCGACTATGCGGCGGAATCGCAACATTTCGAAGGAAGGAGGTGTGTTTTCTCTGCTTAGTTACAAGATGAACAATGTCAAAAGTAGAAGATGCCAATTCTTTCAGCTTTAAAATCGTTGCACAGCTACTCAGAAAAGTGAGTGTTGGAACCACTTGCTTGATTTAAATGACATTTACAGGGCTTGTTTCTGTTTCTGTTGAGAACATTTTTGCCAAATTTTGTTAACCTGGGTGAAGTACAAAAGAAATTGCAAATGTTCAAAGATGAAAGTGGACATGTCTGCGTAGAAAAACTATCGTTTTGAAATTGCTTATGAATTTGTCATTATCATGTGTCATATTGCTTTAAGACAGTTTAGGGCAGGTAGCTATGCAGCTATATTTCTATATTATACTATTTTTCATGACAAAAAAAGCCACATAAACACAAATACTGTTTTTTAGATTTTTATTTTTTGTCCAAAATTTTAGTTCTCGAGCTAGAAAAACGACAAAAATAAATAAAACAAGCTCATAGTTATCTCCCCCTTAAAATTTCACCCCAGAAAAACTGATAAAAATGGATCCATGTAACGTAACAACAAAATGATAGTTTTCCTCAAGTGAAATTTGTGCCCAAAAGTGGAATCGAGAAAAATGCATTCAATGTGCTCCAACCTCTTCTTTACCTTTTCTTCAGCATTGGTGGACCGAAAATAATTGAACAGAAATTAACTACACAGTGTAAACTAATGAAACTTTCTGGGAATACTCTTTAGATGTTGGTGGATGTAAATATGACATTTTTTTCAAAATCAACTTTTTTGCAGAAATTGTTTTTTCTGGGTAGTGTCTCCTTGAAGAACATTATATACGCATTTCATCTAGTTATGCAGAAAATTTGCATGCCACTTATGATGTTTTGCTTGCTGGTCATGCGTCATTTGTCTCTCCAGCACCCTGAACAAATCTGCACTGAAGGTGTTTATAAATAAATGAATAAGGCCACACTTCTCAAGGTCTTTGTCGGACAAAGTCTAACATAATCTGCCACTATGGATGCCCCAAAGATTTGTCCAACCTTCCAATTTTTGGCGAAATTCGACGAACTATGACTTCTTAAACAGCGTTACCTAATTTCTACAAAATATTTTAAATATATAAAAAAACTTATTTATAAAAAATCTATCTTATATTTTAGAGACTAATTTCTAATGTTTATAGAATATTAAGCAAATATATAAGCTTGTACTAATGTAGTTACTTTGTTAAAATGCTGCACCTCTCCTCTGCAAAAGCAGCGCTAGCTTGTTTTTAATTTATGCGCATCTGCATAATCTTCAACCATTTTTGTGTCGAGCATCGAGTTGAAAATTAAAATAAGTCTGACCTGGTTAAACTCGAACCTTGCCAGGTTTGCAATATCTATACTGTGACTCGGTCAACAAGCTTACCAACAAAAAGCAGCCAGTGGGAGATGATTGCAGAAGGATGTCACTGACACCCCCCAAAAATTGTTTTTTTTTTTTAATTTTTGCAAGGCAATTCATTGTGGTCTCAGAAGACTACCCACTCAATATTTTGCTATAGCGTCACATATATTTTTAATAAAGTCAGAAATATCAATTGCTCGAAACCGGAATTGAACTCGGGAGGAAGAAGAAATATTGAGGAGGAGAAAGTTACCAAAAGTCGCTTAGCTGTGCAGTTTTTTTTGTTTTTTTTCAGTTAGCATATTTCTAACGTTTTAGAAGCCACAAAAAATGGGTGTCTTATTTTTCAATCTATTTTAGTATTGAGTGTATGCCTTTGATGACCCACGACTCTGATTATCTTTGGTGGTTGTGTCTAAACCATAAAAAATGGCTCGTGACCACAGAAAAGAGTGAGCGTGACTGAAAACGGCCAGTTCTCATTCGGCGGTTTTTGGGCGGAAAGAAAACTAATCTCGAGCCATAAATCGTGTTCTGGGTAATTGGGCTCTCATATGTCATGTACAAATAAAAACCTTGGTGAGTATAATATATGCTGTCAGTGTCCCTTTAAAAGAGCTGGCAGCAGTTAAGAGGACTGTCATAAAATCAATAACACTAGTAGCAAAAAAAAAAAAAAAAAAACACCTCACACATACAAAAAAAAAAAAAAAAAGATGTTATCAGAGATTGGATCTGTCACGCCTAAAATATAAAATACAGATTAACATTTTCTTTGTGTCATAATAGGCGGTATGTTGAAATATGGGAATAGAGGGTAAAATACAATGCATCCAAATGTAATTAGGCATCAAATAGAATACCATGGGTGGAGTATGGATGGATAACAGACACCTCGAAACTCTATAATGACGCGGAACTAAAAAGTCGGTGATTGAACCCGGTGTGAATGTGCTGCACCTGCCAACCGCACCTCCACTGTGGGGAAAAAAATAAAAACAAGAAAACAGCGGCTTTGAATTTTAGTGTGTCAAGAGCTGCATTCGAGATAACCCCAGGTTTTAAGAAACATCTGACAAACTCTCAATTCTGCTGCTTTCTTTTCGCATGCGAGAACCGACGTAAGGATAGCCTACGTATCATTAACACGTAGTTCAGCGTTTTACCGACAAGCGGCTTGTCTCGCCTCACGGACAGACCCAATGTCAACATCATGACAATTGCTCAAGTTGTGTCGTTCGCAAAGACGTTTTTCTACGGTGCTCTCCCGAAACTCGGAAAAAGATGACACCTCGCTCTCAATTCCACAAAATGTCGAGAGCTCTCGCAACATCGAATCGCGTGATTGGAAAGCTAAAAGTACAGCTCGACAAGTTTCAAGGACCCAAGGCCACACTCAGCTTCACTGAGACGTCTATGAAGTGCCTGGTACTTATCTCCAGGACGCCGACCATTAAAATCAGGCCGAGTGAAAAAACAGGGAAACTAAAGCGGAGATTGAGGAAAGCTCGAAGGAAGCGGCGCGACATATGCACACGTAATCAGTCGATTTCGGGGCAACTGCCATCCCACCCCGCTGCATACGCGCACTGATTCCTCTAATGGTGTTCGGCAAGGCAACCGATACAGACTACATCAGACATCGAGCAACGCCGCCGAGTTCCTCCTTCGACATTAATCAATGTTCAAGTGAGTCAAGTTCAAGTCGTCATGAACCACAGCCTAGCCCGAACTCGTCGCTCGAACGCGTTTTGTGCGACGTTTGACGCGCCGTACGATCTGCGGGGTGGTGCGAATTGAGGACTGACCTGTGGTGGGGTGGAAATTTGTTGATTCAACGCTGTTTAGAATTGGTCCCGGTTATTTTTTCGTCATCGGCGAGCAGAATCCCAGCGACATGCCACGCAACCACGAAAAGCAACGCAGTTTACGCATGCGCAAAATCGGCGCTATCGCAGCGCCACCTGCGATTTTGATATCTGTGTAATATTTGCGTATAATTGCTGAAACTTATTTGAAATAGTTTATTTCAGAAATCTAGTTTAATAATTATACTTAATAAAAAATTAATTAATACGTATGCTGATGAAGATACGAATACACTGTTATTGTGTTCATATTGCCTTCAGCCTGCTTTCTCAGTTTCGGTTTCGGTTTTGTTGACTCTGCCAACTCTGCGGCTAGCTGTTCGGCAGAGAAGTTCGAAGTAGGGGTGTCGCGAACCGGCCGCGGTTCGAGTTCGACCAGGTTCGACTTTTTCGAACTTTTAGTGGAAAGTTCGTCGAACCTTGTATTTAGGGGTGTCGCGAACCGGTCGCGGTTCGAGTTCGACCAGGTTCGACTTTTTCGACCTTTTAGTGGAAAGTTCGTCGACCTTGTATTGAGGTTCGACTCGTGTGCGCATGCGCGACAGGCTGGCCAGTTGGCTTCGGATTGGATGGTAATGGCTAAGAGATGAATTAAGTGCAGCGTTGATCGGCTATTTCAGTCAATACAGTACTAAAATTTAAGTTATTAACTTCTTCAGAGAATAGAATTAGTTTCTTTTAATTGCAGTTGTTTACACAATAAAATAACCCTTTGCATAAAAAAATAAATTCTCCAAACCTAGACATGCTTGTATCAAGGTCTGGACACACTGTCCACAAAGTCGAACCGGTCGAATCTGGTGAAAAGTTCGAAGGTTCGTCGAACCGGTTCGACCCAGTCGAACCCCGAAAGTTCGACCAAAAAATCTGGTTCGACAAAAGTTCGCGACACCCCTACTTGTATTGAGGTTCGACTCGTGTGCGCATGCGCGACAGGCTGGCCAGTTGGCTTCGGATTGGATGGTAATGGCTAAGAGATGAATTAAGTGCAGCGCTGATCGGCTATTTCAGTCAATACAGTACTTAAATTTAAGTTATTAACTTCTTCAGTGAATGGAATTAGTTCCTTTTAATTGCAGCTGTTCACAAAATAAAATAACCCTTTGCATACAAAAAGAAATTCGCCAAACCTAGACATGCTTGTATCAAGGTCTGGCCACACTGTCCACAAAGTCGAACCGATCGAATCTGGTGAAAAGGTCGAAGGTTCGTCGAACCGGTTCGACCCAGTCGAACCCCTAAAGTTCAACCAAAAAATCTGGTTCGACAAAAGTTCGCGACACCCCTAGTTCGAAGTGTTCGAAACCACGATGGTGGATAATTGTTTTTCTAACCTTTCGCCATTGGGGTAGAGATGCCGGATTATGCGACATGTGTGCGAAAACTGCAACAAAAGGAAGCTGCGTGTGCTACATTGCTGTCAAAGCTCTAAGTTGTATTGGTTCTCAACGACGTTAGCCCCTTGAAGGCTTCCCCCGTGGGGTTCCTCTTTATTTTCTTCGCACAACTTTCGTCTCCTACGTGTTTATTTTGAAGAGGAACTACATAAGATAACTAAGCACGGGTAATTCAGATCTTTTGTTTCCTGCTGAAAGGGCAATGCCCCCCTCCCCCTCCCCCCCCCCCCCCCCCCCCCAGACCAGAAAACAATAAACAAAAGGCGACGGCGCCTCGCTTATTTATTGCTATTTGAAAGACGTACTTGCGTCGTCCCTTGCTATGCGTGTTTACTTTACTTTGTTTCCAAAGTGTGTGTTTTTTTTCAACTCATTTTTATTTTTTTATTTTATTTTCGTTTTATTTTTTGTTACGTTTTTTCTTATTTTTCACTTCTCTTACCACTGTTTTTACTTAAAATCTGTGCCAACCTTATAAGTTCAACCATCTGTGGAAATACAACTCAGCGTAACAAACAAAGACACTAAGCATGGCGTTTCTCACGTTCAATTCCCCAGCAAAAACTGCACTTCGTTCTGTTGTTGTTGTTTTCCTTGCAAATTTATTTTAGAAGCACACGTACACAATGCGGTCACCCCATACACCTAAAGGTAACGCAAGCGACTCGCAGCCTCCGCCAGTATCACCAGCGATATAGTTCCCACTGAGCGCTTTGGGGCACGTACTCCAAGCTCACTGCAGTTTAAGAGTGCAGCATTGAGACTCTTGCGCGAGTGCTTGCGTACAAAATCGAGCAGGAGGACTGGCGAGCCCAGGCAGCTCCTCCACAGCGGGACACTGGACGTCGGACACGTCAGCAATGCGGAGCGCAAGTTCGTCTGCTTCTTGCACAAGGGTTGCAATGATGTCAGAACGCCAAGCTCTTATTGGCTGATTGAAAAAAAAAAATAGTGGGTAGACCTTAAGACATTTAGCATTGAGATCTACCCAATTTCCTTTCGACCAGAGCCAATCAGAGCTCAACGTCGTTGTGACGTCACCGCAACCCCTGCTCAAGAAGCAGATGACTTGCTCTACGCATATAACATCCCGTCCCGGGGTACGTCGAGAACAATTAGCGTGCAACGTCTAAGCACGCTTGACAAAATTGAGCGTCTTGCTCAAAGACCCTTACATCGTGGTCAGGAATCGCTTCATCGACTTCTCCGAGAACAGCCAGTGTTGCGTAAAGTACATCTAAAAAGTATTTGAAGTAAAGTAAAATGTAAATGAGAGGTTATGTACTTCAAGTAAAGTAGTAAGGTATAGAACTCTGAACGCAATGTGCTCGAAGTAAAGTATTATAAATACAATGTAGTTTCAAACTGCAAGAACATTTACTTTCATTCCCTACAGCGTTTTCTTCTTAAAATGGTGTGCATTGCTCCAAGGGTAATCGTTATTTTTTATATTTATTTATTTATGGGTTATAGCTTGGGATAAAACGAACTTCGGCGTGCTGTACGTTGAGACTGCCTTGCAGCCCAACTCGGAAAAATGACACTGGGTCAGCGCTCAACGAATAAGCAAAGGTGACAATGATCATATTTATTCGCACTCGGGAAGGGGCGCTGGTGACAACAGAAAACCGAATGTTCATTTCAGATGCATGTAACACCAAACAGGTAACCTGAGAGACTACAGCCGCGGATTATGCCTTGGTCGGCGAAAGTTGAGACGCTGGCCGCGTGACTTCATGAGAAGACAGGTGGATCGTTGTTCTCTTTAGTCCATGATGTGAGCAATCGGCGTCGTGCAACACGGCTTGTTTGCATCAGTGTGGCAGACGGCACGTGGTTCTGAGACGGACGTTCCGAGTGAGCTCCGCTGCAGGCCCGTAGCCAGGATTTTGATTCGGGGGAGGCCCGCCCATGACAAAACGCTGTATGAGGGGAAGGGGGGAGTGGAGGTCCCAACAAAATGGAAGATTTCAGGGAAGACCCGGATGCCCCCCCCCCCCCCCCCTGGCTACGTGCCTGCTCCGCTGCCACTGTAAACGACATAAAGGGACCATGAAACGATCTTTCAACTTTTTCCTACTTCGTTTTCCTCCTCAACTCACAAGAGGGCAAGGAGGAACTCCGACCCTCGTTTGTGTACCCGGGACACCGCCATTCTCCCCCTAGAAAATTAGCCTGTCGCTCAAAATTCGGACAAAAGTTGCTTTTCCCATCCCGTTCACCCCTAAGCTGACAGTGGTGTGGAAGCTACGTGCTCGTTGGGCACGCCACACTTCTATCTTTTGCCACGTGATCACGCTCCCTTGCACATTCTTGCATTCCCACGTTCGGAGAATGGGGCAGGTGATAAAAGGGAGGCGGCTTCTTGGTCCGGCAAGCGCGTAAGTCCCACTGCACCGTCAGCGTGTGGCGTGCGTTTGGGCAGAGTGACGTGCTTTGGGTACCGGGGATGTATCACAGTGAGAAGTCACAGAGCTTTGGAAGGGAAGGAGGTACGAAATAGGCTGCCTTCAGCGCACATGAAGGCTCCCTAGTACGAAATAGACCGCTATGTTTTCAAATTTTCGTACTGATTATCAGATTTTTTACATTCTACCTTCTTTCTTCTGGGCCACTAAACGGTATGCTTTTAGTAAAATCTTAATCTAAATTAATTTATCCCAGCTCAAAATTAGTTTCATGGCCTCTTTAATTTTTATGCGTCCAATAATTCGCGAATTTCCCAAGGTTCCAGTTTCTGAATTATTTCGCGGGCACGAATCTTTAATGATCCGTGGTGTAGTCGTTGCCATGAGGTCAAATTTTTCGCGAATATTTTCAAATCGCGAGATTGGCGAAACTTAGGTCTTTACGAAAATCAAGTATACTCCGTTCTGCGCAACTTCGCAGAGGGAAAAAGCTACGGCTCGTACGACCGACGCGAGATGTCAGATCCAGCCACGTGTCCTCCCGGCGCTGTACAGCTGCATGGCCGCGCATCGTGTATGAGAAGAAAACTCGGCTATCTAGAAGCAAAAGTAATTTAGGCAGTCTTGAGAAATAAAAGAAAACGTCCAGTAATGTAATTACCTTAAAGTTAATGAAAGCGTCAATATAAATACCCAAAGGGAAAGACAAGAAAACATTTAAAAAAAATTTCGAGGACACCTTAGCACTTCTTATGAGTTGTGAATGCGAAATTATTAAGCGGCCGCAGCGCCGGCAGAGAGTGCGGCGGTGCGCCGCGCAGACCGCCCTAGCTCGCTGATCACTTCTGCGCCACTGGGTGAGGTCACCCAGCGGCGGGAGTGCGATGCTCGATGCGGCGCCGTGCTCCGTCGATATCACGCTCTCCCACTGCGCAGGCGCGGTACCCCCGCCGGCTCCACGGCTTCCGTGAGGAAGCATCTGCGTTGCTGTGCTTTTGGCGAATGGGACTTGTGTTGCCGTTTCGCTCAGCCGATGGGAACTTAGGACTCCGTTTTTCGCTCCATGGGTCAGTTAATGCTTTCGCATCAATACATTACTCTTAAATAATTAAAAAAAAAATAATGTAATCTCAAGAATCTAGCAAACCAGTTTGGACGACGGAAGGGTAGCGATTCCGAAACAGTTGCCTTTACCAACTTGCGGCGTAGATCCCGAGGTCTTTCAAATTAGTGGCTTCAGGGATTGGAAAATGCTTTGCACTGACGGATTGATCA